TCTCCCACTTGGTGTTCCACGAGCTATTCTTGCCTCTGGTCCAAAAAACTCCTTCAAAAGTGGTATTTTATGTCTATTTATATGTGTAGGAAAAGACCTAAAGGACATAGGTTAAGTCCTAGTCAAACCAGGAAGCAAAATAAGCCTTCAAAATCCGGAGTAAGCGCGCCTCAGACCATGCCTCGCAAGGCTCCATGCGAGATGAACCTCGCCTAACACTGTGCGGCGCCAGCTCCCACGCGAGCTCGAGCTCGCCTGACCTTTTGCGATGCATGCTCCTACTCGAGCTCAGAGGCTCGTGTCGACAGCTTCCATGCGAGATCAAAGGGTCGCCTCGCGAGCTCTTCACTGCTTAATGCATTCTTTCTTCTTTCCACAGTTTTCGAGCACACTTTATTCTTTAAATCTTCCTTTTGCTCTAATTTCATCTCCAATGCACCTACACATAAAATAGACTCCAATATGTGGAAATATATAGTTTAATATTAAAGCACATAAAATGTAAGGTAATTAATGTACTAAAATATGGAATTATAGCCACACATCAGAAATTCTACTATTGATCCTCATATATATTGTGAAGAAAATCACCCGTGGCAAAATTTATCAAAATATTCCCAAGAGCGAGTTATGTGCACCAACTCAATCTTATGTGTGGTATTTATGTGGCGTTTGTGGTGGTCAAGATGGTCACTTTTATGATTGTGCTTGTCTTTCTTATCCTCTCCCAACCCCTTATTATGATGGTTCTACATTTTCATGTGAAGTTAATAGGAACAAAGAACCTGAGGACGCTGACCTGAAGGAGATCAAAGATAAGTTGAAGTGCCTTGTGAAACAATATGATGAGAAACCACTTGCAAATACAAAGGCAAGAGGCAACTATTCACAACTTGGAGGCTCAAGCGAATAAACTAATTGAACCTTGTAAAGCACAACATGCTTACAGTGTGGATAGTAGCCAAGAAGAGCGTGAATTGGCTGCAGAAATTGACATTATAATGGAGGAGTTGAGAAGAGAATATGACCAAACCAACCAACTAGAATTTGATGACGTCGATGTTGAAGAAGTGGTACTGGAGTCAACTGAGGACCTTACAGATATAATTTTAATTGATTCCAGCTTGTGGCAAGAAGAGGAGGTCGATAACAAGTTGAATTTTTAGTTTGAGCGCATTGGTCCTCACTCCAATCATTTTTCGACATTGTGCTCGGAAAGAGATATGGAAATTGATCTATATGAGCCAATGCAAGAGTCAAAGGAAGAGGTGGATGAGCCCTATATTCTGAAATTTTCAAGGCCGTCTAGGCAAGGTGACACTCCTCGATTGGAAGCCAAAAAGTGTATAAAGAATCACTTAATTTTTGGCTCGCAAAAATTTGTATCGCCCCAAGAGCATGATCATAGAGCTGAATCAAAGTTTGGGGTCCAATTCAAAAGTTCGAAGTGGAGGCAGAAAGTAATTCGCGTCGTGCCGCGATATTAAATCAAGCGCTTGTTGGGAGGCAACCCAACTTTACTTCTTTTATTATTATTATTAATATTGTATTATTCTTGTAGTGTTTTTTTTATTTCTCTAAGAGCATGGTAAGCAAGGCCATTAGAAGAAAGCAAAAGCAAGTGAGAGGCTAGAACTAAGTGTGGGGTGCCCGCACAAAGCACCAAGTATGAGAGAAGTCTGAGTACCCCATGAGATGCTAATACTTCGGCTTTTGGCCTACCAGGGAGTTTCTTTTAGCCTCTTATATTTATGGGTGTGTATTGGGGATAATGTACAATTTTAAGTGTGGGGTGAGGAGATTGTATGGGTGACTTTCTATGCTATTTTAGTTGTGTTAGTTTAATTGAATAAATGTTGTTTTAGAAAAATAGAAAAAGATTGAACTTTTCCCGACGATGGATATCCTATACAATCTTGAGGGTTTAAAGTCCGACAAAAAAATAATAATAATAAAATAAAATGAAAAACAAAAAAATCCAAAAGAAAAAAAAATATGCCTTTTTATTATTTTAGGTAGTAATGATCCCTCGTGATTTTTCTTTGTGCCTCGGTTCTTTTTCACGAGATGTAGTTGAACCGGGTAGTAGTTTTTATTTTATATATTTTTAGAGTAGATTAGGATATAGGGAATAAAAGAAGGAAGATGAAATTTTTAGGCGTCCTTTTGACTTATTTGATAGTAGCATATTTAGGCTCTAGCATGTGTATTACCTTCTCTATGGTTTGAAGTTGCTTATGATGCCTTATTGAGTTAGATAGCATGTTTATTAATGCCTATATCTCATTTTCTTGGCTTGTGTCACTTTGTGCTTAATGCTTAATATTTTGTGGCTCCGTGAATACTTGTAATTGTTTGAGAATTGGAATGGAACTATCCTTACTGAGTCATGTGCCATGTGTGTTGAGAAATTATATAGTCTGTGTCATTGCATTAGAGTCTATAACTTGTCCGGCATGTGAGTTGAAGCGAAATTTTAGGTTTTGCTCGGTTTGAAAAATGATATAAGGCTTTCTTTGATTTGTTTGAGATTAATGCTTACCACAATAAAAACTATCCCTAGTCAACCCTTTTGAGCCTATAAACTTTTATTTGGCAATCACATTACAAGCCTATACCCATTTGTTCTTAATTATCATTATTTTGATCATTTTACCTCTTAAAGCACTTTAATTATAAAATGAGCGGTAAAAGAAGTAAGGATGAAACTTGGATGGCTTTTGAGTGGAACCAATAAAAGAAAGAAAGGTGCACTTGTATTGTAAGGAATACACCACTAGCAGAAATGGTAGAAAAATAAAGTATTATTGAAAAAAAAAATGTAGCAAAGGAAAACAAGCATATCTTATCCTTGCTAGTGTGTAAGAATTAATGTGGTGCATAAAGAAAGAGGAAATATTTTTGGGGGTGATAATGTTAGTGAAATTGAAGTGGATTGAAGAATTTGCGCTTACCGTTTATTATGTGATGTGTTAAAGTGCTTGGGAGGATGAACCACTAATCCAAAATATATCTTATCCTTCCCTGAGGTCACATTACATCCATAAAAAGTCCTAATTGATTTTAGATCGAGCAAACCTATGTTAGTATAAGTTTACATAATGGGAAAGCCTATGGTACTTTGTGCATGCATGTGACTTCTTTGTGAGAGTGAGGGCTTTTTTTGATATATGTGAGTCATTAAAATATATTTAAGCATATGATTCGAATGTGTGAATTCAACTTACTCTCTTGTTCTTGTTGTGAGAGCACATGATTTCGCAAGCGATAGGTGACGTTATTAGATTTCTCTATGATGATTAGTGGTCGATCCATGAATGCATTGTGATATTTAGTCGGTTTGTGATGTTAGGATTGTTATAAAAATATTTTTTTTTTTTGTGAATAAATTTTTGAAGTATGGCATAAAGTAAAGGAAAGTTTGAAGGCATATGCTAAAGTTTAATTATTGCTATCAATCATAGTCATAGGTATGGTGTGCTTCAGATGTGCTAAAAAAAGAATAAAAGTGCTCTAAGAATTGGTAGTTGACTCGAGGACGAGCAACGTTTAAGTGTGGGATGGTGATGTTAGGCCAAAATGCTATACGTTTAGCACATTACTCGCCCTATATTATGTTGGTTTAGTGAGTTATTGTGCGATAATTGCACTAAATTATATTGTTTTATGTGTAGGAACATCGGAATGAAACATCGAATGAAAGTTTCACAAAACGTGGACAAACAATTCAAGAAAATAGCCAAAAGCATCAAGTACCCAAACCGTGCTATAGACCAGGCTTCGCGAGGTCTATAGCCAGGTCGACCGCGCTATAGACCAGGCTTCGCGAGGTCTATAGCCAGGTCGACCGCGCTATAGACCAGGCTTCGCGAGGTCTATAGCCAGGTCGACCACGCTATAGACCAGGCTTCGCGAGGTCTATAGCCAAGTTGACCGCGCTATAGACCAGGCTTCGCGAGGTCTATAGCCAGGTCGACCGCGCTATAGACCAGGCTTCGCGAGGTCTATAGCCAGGTCGACCGCGCTACAGACCAGGCTTCGCGAAATCTATAGCACGGTAATTAAAAGTCACGGGTTAAAATACCCAAACCCAAATTTGGACCGGGGGATTGACATAAATGCTCCCCAAACGAGTTATTCTAGGGTTGGGCATGATTTTGGAGAAGAAATAGGCTGCCAAGCACTGTGGAGCAAGAATTAAACGAGTTTTTCTTTCCTTTATCTCTTTACTTTGTAGTTTCATGTCTTTAAACATTATGTTGATTATTGTTGTAGTTATGAGTAGCTAAACTCTTTAATCTAAGGTTTGATGGAACCTATTGGAGGATGATTCTGTATCGCATTTAATATAGATTTGCCTTTGATTTTTCTCTACTTGTTCAACTATATTTTCATTGTTATTAATTGAAGAGCTCTTAATTAACTGTTCCTATTTAGTGTGTATATTGCTCGAGAGAGAGTGCACATTTAGGTAGTTGTTGAACAACACCACTCCTAATGTAGTTGAGAGATTAATACGGAGGGTTTAAAGGCAGGATTAGAGATAACTAAGCCTTGGTGCGATCGTCGTGAGTGGTAAATTAGTGTCAGCTAGCGTAGTTCGAGAGAATACGTCTAGTAAATTGTAGTAGTTACTCGAGAGAGAGCTACGACACTTAAAATACTCACGATCGGTAGAAAATATTTAGGCGAATTTATAGAAAACGTAGCGTGGAAGATTCCGACAATAGGGAAAATCATAACCTTTAGACTTTTCCAAATCTTGTCTACAATATTTGCCTTGTTAGTTATAAATTACTAGATTTTTAATTACTTTGATCTTAGTTAGTAAACTCTCAAATTGTTTTATAATATTTCTGAAAGTTGATTACTTAAATTCGTGCAAAACTATTAGTTATAACTAAATACGTTATTTTCCTGTGGGATTCGACTCCGGACTTGTAAACCGGATTATATTTGCAACGACAGCTAGATCTCTTAGGAGGTATAGTTGGGCGTGATCATTCCCTCCCAATAACAGCAACAAATGAAGTAACCGGAAGAGTTACAATTACAGCTACAGTTGTGCGAATGATGAAGCACTTAAACAATTACAAAAATAATAGGTATTTAACAATTCCAGAAGATTAGATTATGACTATAATCTAAATTAGTTTTCTTAGGCATTATAGGTTAAGAATCCAAATCAAAATGTGGTTTTCAGCATATACTTGACACCAAAGACATCAATGTGCATGTTTCTCCTCCCAAATCGACATCATCTTTTTATTTACGATCTACTGGCATCGGCTAGTGAATTTTGCATATCATGCAGTGCTATTTTTGTAGTGAAGGTAATGTACAAAAATACAGAGCCATCCTTCGGTGTGAAGTTGTTTCTATATGATATTCTCCTTATGTTCTCGATCTGCATACTTCTTTGCGGTTTCTGCCCACTAACCTTCCAATACCTCACTCAAAAAGTCAGCGAGGATAGAGAAACTATTACAGTACTTAACTAAAAAAAGATAACTGAGCTACACACTAAAATATATCACATCATAATAAGAAATTATAGAGGTAAAGGTAGCAATACGGGTCATTTTGAGAGAGAGAGAGAGGGGATGAAAGGAAGGACGGATTGTAGAGGCAAAAAGTTTAGGAGAATAAAAGAATGAAATAATCATTAAGAGAATTTTCCGTGTATTTGATGATGAACTCTGTACAATGCTTATTTTTATATACAAAGAAGAAAGAATCTTTCGATAACTAACTATGCCACTTGGCCTATGATTATTAGCTACTCTATAACAACTTATAAGATAAATACAGAAAATGATAATTTATCTACAAGAAAAGAATCTACACACACAATGTTCTCTTCTCTTCTAGTAGGCCCAAGAAGCTTCAGACGAATTGGGCCCAATGGAAAATGGATCCATTTGAAATAACAACACCTTGAGCCCAATCAACCAGTAATACCCAGTTGTGAAAGATTTTCATTTGTGTCTGTTGGATTGAGGACACGCGTTTTCATCTCTTCAAATCCTGAAGCTTCCAAATATCTTATGCATCTATTTTGTTTGGACAGAATTCATTAACCTCGTTTGTGTCGGTCTTCTTCTTCATAATTTCATCTTCCTTTACTTTGCAATTCTTCTTCGAAGCATCATTAATTTCTGGAAATTGTGAAGCTCCGACTCCAACATCCCCCCTCAAGTTGGAGGGATGTGAAACAATCCCCAACTTGCCCAATACAGATTTACGGATCGGACCAGAAAGGGGTTTTGTGAAAACATCGGCAATCTGAGAGAAGGAGGGTACAAATGATAAAGAGATGAGGCCAGCAAGGTATTGTTGTCGTACAAAATGACAGTCAAGGCCGACATGCTTGGTGCGTTCATGAAAGACGGGGGTTTTGGCTATGTGGATAGCGTCCTGTGTCAGAGTGAAGAGGCACAGGGATAGAAGGGGTAAGGAAAAGATCTTCAAGAAGACGAAGGAGCCAAGTGAGTTCGGCGACAACTCTGCGCATAGACCGGTATTCCTCCTCGGCAGAGGATAGGGATACCAAAGACTACTTTTTGGACTTCCAAAAAATTGGAGAAGAATCAATAGAGATGTTTCTCTAACAACCTATATTGCTTCTTATAACCTCCAAGATTACACCTTTTATGCATCTCATGCCTTAATATTTTTACGCTTACCCATTTAAGTTCGCATACTTTATCCTCGTATACCTTGGTATGCATAATTAGAGATTGACTTTTATTTGTATCACATTCATCATCTAGAGGAACCCAAGGTTGTCAAGCCCATCTTTTACATATGGAATTCTTAGTCTATCCTCAACTCGTACTAACACGTGGTACTATCCATTTATAGATCTTCGAGTGTTTGGACATCGACCCCAATCGGAGTCACAAAAAGCAACAATCTTGAAAGAAGGACTAGATGATAAGAAAAGCCCTAAACCATGGTCCAATAGAAGGTATCTTAAACAGCGTAAAGCAGGATCAAAATGAGGACGTGAGGTGATTGCATGAATTGACTGAGGTGTTGGACAACAAAGGACAAGTCAGGGCGGGTATGAGTTAGATAATTGAGCCTGCCCAAGAGTTTGCGATAAATGAAAGGATCTGGTAAAAGATCACCCTCGTTGATACGCAAGTGGCAACAAGATCAAGAGGAGAAGAGGCTGGTTTGGAATCCAAGCATCCAAATTCAAAAAGAAGATCCAAGGTAAATTTTCTTTGAGTTAATATAATTCCATGTTTCTCCCTAATAATCTCGATACCCAAAAAATAATGTGCTTGACCCAAATCCTTGACTTTGAACTCAGAGTCTAGAAATAATTTAATAGAGTCAATTTCTGTAGGTTCATCTCCCGTTAGTAAGCTATCGTCGACATAGACAGCAATGATAGTAGTCTTGCCTGCTGATTTCTTGAAAAAGAGTGAGTAATCGTTGAGTGAATGAGAGTAACGCTTTAAATTTAAAGCGGCAGTAAGCCTGGCATATCACTATCTGGAGGCTTGTCGTAACCCATAGAGAGATTTTCGCAACTTGCAAACATGAGCAGGGGTGGGAGGAGTAAGTCCAGCTGAAAAATTCATGTAGACTTCTTCCTGTAAGTCACTATGGAGGAAGGCATTGTTGATGTCCAACTGGTAAACACCTCATTTCTTCTTAACTGCCACAACCAGCAAACATCTGATTGTAGTCATCTTAACAACTGGGGAGTAGGTCTCATTGAAATCAGTTCCTTCCCTTTATATGTCACCCCTAATGACCAACCGAGATTTAAATCTCTCCACTGAACCATCTTGCTTATATTTCACCCTGTAAACCTATTTACAAGGCAGTGTTTTCCTATCCTTAGGCAATTCCACAACCTCCCAGGTTTTGTTTGCCTCTAATGCTGCAAATTCTTTGTTCATGACTTCCTGCCAACCTGGATGAAGACAAGCTTGGGAAAAGGAGGTGGGTTCAGAAATATAGGAAATGGTGTTTAAAATATTTTGGTTAGAAGAAGATAGGACAGAAAAAGATAAGATAGGAGGGGAAACAGGGGAAGCAAAATAGTTGGTAGTCAGATTGGTTAAAATAACTGAATTGCAAATGTAATAATCTAAATAAGAGGGCAAGTGATGTTCTCTAGTGGACCTTCTAAGAGCAGGTTGAGAAGGTAGAGGAGTAGGAAAGATTGGTGAATGAAACTGAGGAGAAGGAACTGGGGAAGAGTAAGATTTAGAGAGTGAAGGAGGAGAAGTAGAAGTGGGAGGTGCAAAGTGTAAAGGATAAAGAGCAGTTTGAAGAAGGGATTGTGGTGAAGAAACAGTTCTAGAAGAAATAGGTCTAGATTGTAAAGATGGAGAAGGCATAGAAGAGGGAGGTTCAGGTGCTGCTTCAGTAGGAGTGTCAATGGCATGGGAAGGCATTCTAACTGGAAATATAGGTAAATGGGGCATGACAGAGGCAAAGGGGAAAATATGTTCATGGAAAGTAACATCTCTAGAAATAAATACCTTGTGAGTTTGTAGATCAAGTAGCTTATATCCCTTCTTGCCAGAAGGGTATCCCAAAAATACACATTTAGCTGATCGGGGATCTAGCTTGGATCTATGTGTAGGTAGTGTTGAAGCATAGTATAGGCAACCAAAAACTCTTAATGTATCATAGCTAGGTGGTTGACCAAACAAGAGTTCATAAGGAGTCTTCATTTTTAGGACCTTAGATGCAAATCTATTAATTAAAAAGGTTGATGTCAACAAGGATTCTCCCCAAAACTTGACTGGATGGTTAGATTGAAAGAGTAATGCCCTGCAAGTTTCAAGTAAATTCTCGTGCTTCCTCTCAACAACCCCATTTTATTGGGGAGAAGAAACATAAGTTGTTTGATGAAGAATATCTTGGGAGGCAAGGAACTGTGAGGTACTGTGACTGGATCCCAACTCAAGGGCATTGTCTGATCTTATAATTTTTACTTTGGTGTGAAACTGTCTCTCAGTCATGGCTAAGAATTGTTTGAGCATGGTGAAAGCATTAGACTTAGATTTGAGGAGAAATGTCCATGTCCCTCTACTATAATCATCTACTATAGTAAGAAAGTATTTGTATCCATCATAAGTATGTGTTTTGTAAGGTTCCCAAGTATCAACATGAATAAGATCAAAGATGTGTCTAGTTGTTATAGAGCTAGAAGGGAAAGATAATTTGACTTGTCTAGCTTTAGCACAAATATCACAAAGCTGAAAATTACAAAGAGAAGAAGAATAAGAAATAGAAGAAATGCATTTCATATTAGAAAAAGGCATATGTCCCAGTCTATTATACCATAAACTTACATCTTTAGAAATAGATGCTAAACATAAACTAGAATTAAAAACTGGCGTACTAGCATGTTGACTACAAACAGAATGGTTAAAAGCCTTGATTAAATTAGAAACTACTATTCTAGGCTTGATAAACTTGACTTGACCAACTTGGCTTGAATAGACTGAATTGAAGAGATATATCCCCTTAGTGACCTTACCAATCACCACTGACCTCTTCAGTGAAGGGGCCTGCAATGTTGCATCAAAAGAGGAGAAAATTAGAAGTGAATGGAATTGCAAACATAATTTATGCACTGATAATAAGTTGTAGTTGAAACTTGGCACAAACAAAACATGATGAAGAGCAAATCCAGGTAGAATGGTTACTGATCCTGCCTGATAAACTAACACCTTAGCAGAATTAAGCAGTCTTACATAGACTGGTTTAGGAAGGAGTTTGACATTAAACAGAAGCTGCAAATTAGAGGTTATATGCTCAGAAGCACCTGAATCTAAAATCCAAGAAACAGATTGTAGAGAAACACTGATATATGTTTTGGAAGAGGAAGAAGAATTAGATATACCAGCACAATTAGCAGACACTATGTCCTCATTTGCCTGCTCACTTTGAGAACCAACTTTCACATGTTGAAGCAACTAGTAAAGGCTGTGGAATTGATCTTGTGTCATGGGTTGATCTCCTGCATTGCAAGTCTGATGTTTCCATAGAAAGTATTGCATTGCTCTTAGCTCCACTGAATCTTTTGAATTTAGTAAACTTAAAATCTGAAGGAAAACCAATCAATCTATAACAGTTTTCAATAGTGTGATTCTGCTTCTTGCAATAGTTGCAGAACTGAGTTCCTTTCTTTGTTTCTGTGTTGAATTTCTTAGCAGAGGTTACCTTCTGTCCTCCATAGGACTGTTGAGCAGCAACAAAGACACTTTCAGCTGGATGGTGAGAAATATGTACTTCTCTTTGCTTCTCATCTCTGATAAGCAAAGAGTAGGCATGATTGACTGAAGGCAATGGTGATGGCATAAGTAGATTGCTTCTGGCTACTGCATAAGCACCATTCAGTCCCATAAGGAACTGAATGAGTCTGCTATCTTGCTGAGATTTGAAGTTTTTGATTTTAGCACCACAACTACAGGGACATGTGCAGTGTTGACACACATCCAGGCTATCCAACTCATCCCATAGCCTTTTCAGCTTAGTATAGTATCCTGCTATATCTAAATTTCTCTATGTTGACTCAGTCATCTCTTTTTGTAGGTGATAAAGATGTGGTCCATTACTCTGACCAAACCTTTCTTCAAGCTCATCCCAAATGTCCTTGGCTGTCTTGGAGTATAGAACACTCTCAGCTATTGCTTTAGAAAGAGAGTTCAATAGCCAAGAAATGACCATGTCATTACAACGGGTCCAAGATTTGAAAACATCAGAAGAGATTTTGGGTTGAAGGAAGGTTCCATCAATGAACCCTACCTTGTTTTTCGCAGACAAGGCTATGAGCATTCCCCTTCTCCAACCCCCATATCCTTTTCCATCAAAAGCAGTGTTAACAAGAAGCATGCCAGGTGAATCTGAAGGGTGAGGGTAAAAGGGATGAGAGGAGTCAAGAACTACAGAACCAGTTGGTGAAGCACCAATTGTTGTCATCTGAGGAGAGCTTGTTTCTATCACAGATTGTGAATTGAGCTCGAGTTGGTCTCCCATGGTTAAGTTAAACACAACAAAGGAGAGAAAAGAAAATTAGATAGATTGAAGAAGGATCGAGCACTAAAGCGTTGATACCATGTTAGGAGAATAAAAGAATGAAATAGTCATTAAGAGAATTTTCCGTGTATTTGATAATGAACTCTGTACAATGTCTGTCTTTATATACAAAGAAGAAAGAATCTTTCGATAACTAACTATGCCACTTGGCCTATGATTATTAGCTACTCTATAACAACTTATAAGATAAATACAGAAAATGATAATTTATCTACAAGGAAAGAATCTACACACACAATTTTCTCTTATCTTCTAGTAGGCCCAAGAAGCTTCAGACGAATTGGGCCCAATAGAAAATGGATCCATTTGAAATAACAACACCTTGAGCCCAATCAACTAGTAATACCCAGTTGTGAAAGTTTTTTATTTGTGTCCGTTGGATTGAGGACACGCGTTTTCATCTCGTCAAATCCTGAAGCTTCCAAATATCTTATGTATCTATTTTGTTTGGACAGAATTCATCAACCTCGTTTGTGTCGGTCTTCTTCTTCACAATTTCAACTTCCTTTACTTTGCAATTCTTCTTCAAAGCATCGTTAATTTCTGAAAATTGTGAAGCTCCGACTCCAACACAAAGAAAATTGAAGCAAAGAGGATATTGAGAAAAATACTACTCAAGCAGCCAAAGGAAAATGAGATATGGAGCAATTTGAATTTCTATGACAGAAAGACAATAACTATTGGAAGATATATGGAACAGAATTCTATTAAACTTGTAGTTTATGAATTTGGATACAATAATCCAAACAATCTTCTTGATCACGGAAAAATAGGGGTCAACCTTGAAAAGCTTCCGCCGTAAAGGACACTTAAATGAAGGAGAAGTCCATGAAAATTAAAGTAATTATAAACTTACATGCCACCAATAACAATTACAGGAAACGGAGAGCTAATTAATTACCATATTCACTTCTCAAATTTCACAGAAAAAACAACATTACATTCACTTAGTATTGATCAAAACAAAATTCAATATATGAAATGTTGTAAACCAGTGAACGAAACGTGAAGACGACATTGAACAAAAATATGACTGTTTGGGCATTTTCTTTTTTAATAGAAAGGAATAAGTTGGGTGGGTAGATTTCGGGTTGGGTAAATTGGATTCTAAATTTGTCCAGGTTTTTTATTAGTAGGCGTTTGGACATAAAAATTATAATTTTTGAAAAAAAAAATAGTATTTGAAGTTAAGTTGAAAAATGACATTTGGAATTTGAAAGCATTTCACTTGGAAAAATGTTAAAGTTTTGTGAGTGCGGAAAAAATTCTCTGAAAATTTTGAATTGGTTTTTGAAAAATTCATTTTCAAAAAAACAAATTAAAAACTTGCAAAATTTCATGGACAAATACATTTTTGGAAAAAAAAAAATTATGGATAAAACGGCGCCTAAGTGTTTTAACTATTTTTTTTCTTTTTATAAAACTTGCTACACCATTATATCTCATCGTAAAATATAAAATTCGGTAAAGAAGACCACTAAAGTTAATTAGACAAAGTAAAGTGACTTTTAAAAGACAAAATAAATAGATGCTTTTAATGACCAATTATCCCAAATTAACTGACCATCTAAACAATCAACTCTAGAAAATTATAGCGAGATGTGTATGCCTTGTACCGTTGTACACATAGCTTTTTGCGAGTCCGGAACCAAAATGTGGTTCTTTTGGACTCAAAGAATCAAAATGTGTGAGGGAAAAAATTGGTGACAATAAGATATATAACGCCCTTTTAAAATGCATTATATATATAAAGCCCTTTTGAAAGGCGTTATATATATTATGTGGGCCTGCCAATAATTCTTCTGGGCTTAACTGACATAACAATAATTTAACTGGGTATAGCGCCCATATGTAAGGCGTTATACCTCAAATAATTATACCCCCAGACTGGTTTTTGCCTTATTTAAAGAGGTTAAGGATTTTGTAAAAATCCATTCATAAATATTCTCAAGTCTTCTGAAATATTTCTTCGTTAAGTTGTTTTGCGCGGTGAAATACCACGTTATGTATTTTGTCTTGTCGAGCTGAAAAAGTTGTTGTTCTGCAAAAGCTATTTTCTGAAAAAGTTGTATTGTACCCAAAAGAATCATTATCACGCGAATCATAGCGCGGTGAAATACCAAGTTATGTGTGTTGTCTTGTCGACCTGAAAAAGCTGTTGTTCTGCAAAAGCTATCTTCTTAAAAAGTTGTATTGTACCCTAAAGAATCATTATCACGCGAAACACAGCGCGATGAAATACCACGTTATGTATTTTATGTTGCCTATAAATAACTAGCGCATTTTAGTTATTATCTGCGCTTAACCAAAACAAATAGAAAAACTTTCTATAAATTTTTTATTTTTCTTGCATTAAGAAATGCCTGGACGCAATGACGTACCGAGGTGTTATTGTGACAAACGTGCGATTTTGAAGCCATGTTGGTCAAATCGTAATGTTAGGCGCAGACGCTGGATATGTCAACAACTTGTAAGTTATTGTTTTGAAAAAAAATGTTTGTTAATATTTTTTTATATAAAATGTTAACTAATAGTGTTGTGTTATAATCCCCATTGGTAGGACCGAAATCAATGTAGATTTGAAGAATGGTATAATGAACCCATTAACCAGGAATACTACAAATCATGTTTGAGGTATGTTTGGAATGTGACCGGTGAATACGAACTCTAGACTTTAAAATACAACGATAAATTGCGGCAGTACAGGAGAAACTAAAAGAGACGGAAGAAGAAAAAAATAGGTTGAAAGAGAAATTTATGTGGTTGAAGGAGAGAATAATGGGCGATAGTGACTAAACAAACACATGTATGTGTTGAGTGTAATATTTTATCTTTATGTTTTTCGTGTCATGTATTTTCATTAGTTGTACCGAATTTAAATTATGTTACGTTGCTATGTTTGTATTTTTGTTGTAGTATTAAAATAACAAAGAACCCGAGAAATAAAAATATAATGCGCATATAATGTAAACAATAAAAATTGTTGCTATTATTTACTGAATGTCATATGTACATAAAATCAAAAAAAGTCAATGTGTCCCATATCTTGTATGCTTTAAAGCAGTCGTTGGCCTGAGGCGTATCCCATCCCGCCCGGCTACACTATCAGGATCATCCTCATCACGTCGCCTCTTTATCGGAGGATGCGCTGCAGCATGATCATCAATAGGGCTGGCAGGCTCGGTAGAAGGGGTCGTCGGTCCAGCAGTAACCTACAGAATAATAAGATATTTTAGTATATGAAATATATATTAGTAATGTACGTTTTAAGTCACAAAAATTTAAATTGTCTTACCATTGTCTCGGCGGGATCCTGAATATAATCATTCGTCTTAGCCATGTTAGTATCGCACAAAGTGGCCTCCGTGACGGGCGAGGATGATGCCTTAAAAAAAGCTTTAGAATTTATGACTAATCAATGAGATAAAAATAAATATAAATAATAGTAATACAAACAAACTTGCAACTTTGAAAGATCCTCAGCATCCCTCGATGATGAGCCATAACTCAGTCGGCGCCCACTATCCACATCTCATGTCGGACGATCATCAGCAACCGTCGATGGCTCTGGAGGACCAGGAAAATACTGATCTCACTCATGTCGCGTAATGGCCTTGCCCGCGATCAACAATGGAGCTGACAGGGTCACCTACGAAGTCCCTAGAGTAAGGTGAAGGCTGAATGGCGGCATATCACTAGGAGCATGGTCTGGCTCATGGTGGTCACCCGGCTGATCAACTCCAACATCCTCAACAGGTGCCTCAACGCCCCTTGCTGGGGACCACCTCCTTGCCGACTCCCACGACCTCGTGGGACACCCCTACCTCTCTGGGCACGCCTGCCACATCGACCACGTTCCGGCTCCACTGCTGGCCCACAATGGTACTGCTCTGGCACAACATAATCAGCCTCGTATCCTAAGCGCTCATCATCTCGGGCTCGCCTCAATGTCCGAGAAGCCAGATCTGTAACTTGTCGGCCATACTCGTGCAAAGCGGCTACTCCCTCGCCGGTATGCTGCTGCATCTGCAGTTCCAACTGGTAGAACAGATGTAGGACAATAGCCTGCACAACATGTAAAATATTAACTACGGAATGCTAGGTTAACGTTATAAGTAAGTATATCAAATAACATACCAGTGCCTCATGCCTCCAGGCATATGGAACGTACCTACCGCCAGCGCGATGAACGGGATTCCTGACGAAGAGTCGGGTAACGCTGCAGTACCAGCCCATATACTCATGCCCACCATCCATCCGGTCAGGTGAAGAGGGGGCGGAATCAGGTCATGTCGTTGGTCCCAAGTATTGATCTGCGCCTCTAGCCATGCCACATATGTCTGGTCCACCCTAGAACGATCATCCCACTAGTAATGTGTTATATGCCCAGCGGGCGGTAGAGGTATAAGCTGCAGTCGACCAAACTAGCGAAGGACTCGCTCGGTGGCATGATGCTCGACAATATCGAGACACATAAATATGACGGAAGAGCTCCACATAATTTGGTCGGTCGAGCAATAATCGGGCGAACCAGCTATTAGCTCGTCGTTGTATGGCCTCCAAATGAACTATTAAGTAAAAGCAGGAACCGTGAGTATACACAACACATTTAAAGCCAGGCCAAGTAAAATTAAGTATATATTTATCTGTGCGCCCTCCAGCAAATCCAACAAATCCCTGCAATAGGGGAGATTATGTCGAGCCTCGTACTCGCGTCCATATCCTCGCCTTTCAACCCACCTCCTAGGTAAAGGGAGAAACAGAGGTGGTGCATCCGGAGCGAAGGGTGGTAGAGGTGGCTGCAATTGCAGGAACCGCTCCCAGGCCGTGATAGTGGCCTCACCAATGGGAAAATAGAATGTGTGTGTCTCCGGTCGCCACCGCTCTATCAAAGTCGTGATCAACGACCAATCCAGCTGCAGCTGGGGATGGAGATGGTG